CTATTGAGTTCTCTCTCTCTCAGCATGAACATGCTCTCTGGCATAAAGGAAGGAAGGAAGGAAAGATGAAAAGACAGAAAATGTCAGAGAATTGAAATCCATTTGATTTTAAAGAATCAAATGAAAATGTAATAGTTTAAAATCCAATTGCCACATTTAAGAACCAAGATGAGAGTGACTACAGACTAGGCACAACAGAAGACAAAACTATGTCAGTAGTCAAACTGAAGAGTACATGGAAAAACAGTGGAAATTACACAAAAGATTATAAAAGATGTGTGAGACACAATGAAAAAGTTTAACTTAAAGGTAGCTGAGTTCCAGGCGAAAGAATGAATGGGACAGAAGCAATATTTCCAAAGATAACAGCTGAGATCTTCCTAAACAATCTAAAAAATACAAAAATTGATTTAAAAACTTCTACCTACCCACAATGAGTATTTCAAGAAACCCCAACCAACATAAATTTGAAAAAATAAAACAAAATAAACCAGGGCCAGCACGTGGCATGGTGGTTAAGGGTGCTGGATTCCCGCCAACTGCAGTTCGAGTGGCAGACGGCAACTCAAGTCCAGGACCTGACGGCTTTTCATTTTCCCTCTCTCTCACTCTGTCCCTCTCTGGTCAAATGAAAATAAATACTTAAATACATACATACATGAAAACATATATAAGTTAAATAAAAACATAAGCTAAAAAAATAATTCTTAAAAAAAAATAAACCAATGAAGTACATTATAATCAACCTACTAAAAACCAAAATCAAAAAAATTTTCAATCTGCTGGAGGTAAAGCAACATTACCTTTTAAAACAATAAATTTGATAGTTGATATCTCAAAAGAAATGATGGAAGTCAGAAGACAATGGAATGACATCTTTAAAATGCTGAAAGAGGGTGGCAAGTGGCATGGTAGTTAAGGTGCTGGACTCCCACGTGGCCAACCATGGTTCACATCCCAGACCTGGTGGCCTGAAAATCATGCTGGGCATGTGCATGTGTGCCCAGAGTCCTGAGAGGAGAATGCAGGAGAAGGGATTATGGTGTGGCCATCCTGCCTGAGCAGAGAGTTCTCTCTTTATCTTCTCTCTAGTGGGTGCACGCGCTGTATAACAAAAACCTTAAAAAAAAGCTGAAAGGAAAAGCAAACTTGCCAACTTAGAATTTACAGCCAGTGGAAAAATATTTTCATATATATATACATATAATTATTTTTTGTCAATTAAAAATAAAACTTTAGGCCCAGTAATATTGGCACAGGCAGTAGTATACTGACCTGGAGTGCCTGAAGCCACTTTGGCTGACTACTAGTTTGGATCCCTAGTCACCCCAAAACACAGCAGGTACATGTGCATCCATGATCCTGACTACCTTGAGGGCTGGGGGAAGGGGTCTATGATATAATGAGACCCTATCAAAGGTGCTTCTCTCTCATGAATACTGTCTGTCATGAAAAGAAATTTTAAAAAAGAGAAGGGCCAGCCAATGGCATGGTTAAGGTGGCTGGCTTACACATGACTAATAAAGCGGTTTGAATACCAGACCTGGTGGCTTAATAATAAATACATTAGGGGACCAGCAGATGACATAGCGGTTACATCGCTGGACTGCCACTTGGCTGACTACAGTTCAAGTTCTGGACCTGGTGGCTTGAAACTCACACCAGGCGTGTGTACATGCATGCCCAAGATCCCAGGAAGAGGATAGAGAAGGAATTGCTGTGTGGCCACCCCCCCAGGGGGGGCAGAGATTTCTCACCTTCCCTCTCACTGTGTCTATTTGTCTGTCTCTCTCAGCGAGTGCATGTGGCCTAAGGTAAAAACCTCTTAAAAAATATATAATTAGTTACTTAAAAAAAAAAAAAAAAGAAAACACCAGGCATGTGTGTATATGCCCAAAATCCCAAGAGGAGAATGGAGAAGGGAAAGCATGCAGTACGGCCATCCTCCCAGGAAATATTTTCTCACCTGTCTACCCCTCTTCTATGTATGCACCCTATAGCAAAATTAAAAAAAAATTTTTTTTTAAATGAGCATGATATAAAGATGTCTTCAGGCAAACAAAAGATTAAAGAACTTACTATTCACAGACCTGCACTAAGATGAATATGCATGTTTGAGTTCCAGTCTTGGAGTCTTGAAAAACATGTATGATGCATGTGCATGCCTGAAAGGACAAATGGAGAAAGTACTGTGGTGTGACCATCCCCTCTGGGTAAGGGTGCCTTCTCTCTCTCTCTCTCTCTCTCTCTCCAGCAAGCACACAAACCCTTTAGCAAAGTGAAAAAAAAAAAAAGGAAATGTACTGAAATTCACTATATGAACAAATTTAAAAGTCACATGATCATGTGAATAGATGCAGAAAAATCATGTGACACTGTCTCATCCCTGTGTCTCCAACACTTACTTCTATTCCCCTGAAGTAACCATCGTTACTAGTTTTCCTGTTTTATGCCTGTTCATGGAAATAATTATGCATATATAGGGTCATGTTCATATCTGCATTTTAATTTTTAACTATATATCTGTATTATAAACTTTTATCCCTTAGAGCAAAAAAAAAAAAAAAATGCAAGCAGGTGCTTCTCTGCTCCTTACTCTTCTCATTTAATAATATAGCTCAGAAATTATTCTTTATCGGGACCAGCAGTTAGCATAATGGCTATGTCGCTGGAGTCCCACGTAGTCGACCGCGGTTCGCGTCCTGGACTCAGTGGCTTAAAACTCACGCCGGGCACGTGTGCGTGCGTGCCCAAGATCCCGAGAGGAGAATGGAAGAGAAGGAATTGTGGCGTGGCCATCCCCCCAGGGGGTGATTTCTCACTTTCTGTCTCTCTGTCTCTCTCTGTCTGGTGAGTGCACACGCCCTATAGCAAAAACCTCTCAAAAAAAAATTATTCTTTATCAGTAAACTCTTTCTTATCCTTCTTTATAGCTGTCTAATACTCCCTAAGTCAGAATTCATTTAACTAGTACCTTATATATAGATATTTGGTTCATCTTTAATTTTCCCCATTAAAAACAATGTTTCAATGTATCCAGTGTTTGTTGTGTGTGCAAGTATGTTTTTTTTTTTTTTGAGAGGTTTTTCGCTATAGGGCGCATGCACTCACCAGACAGAGACATAGAGACAGAAAGCGGGAAATCACCCCCCAGGGGGGATGGTCATGCTGCAATCCCTTCTCCTCTTGGGATCTTGGGCACGCATGCACACGCACCCGGTGTGAGTTTTAAGCCACCGGGTCCAGGACACGAACCGCAGTCGACTACGTGGGAGTCCAGCAACATAGCCATTATGCTAACTGCTGGTTCCCTGTGTGCAAGTATGTTTGATAGTGTCTTATACATGCACTGACCACATGATCTAGCAATTCCATTCCTAGGTTTTTACTCAAATGAAATTTTAAAATATGCACATATCAAAACCTGTACATGGATGATTACAACAGTTTTAGTCATAAAATCCCAAGTGAAAACTTAAAAGTTGTTCAGCTGGTGAAGAGATAAGCAAATTTTAGTATATCCAATTGATGGACTATTATTCAACAATTAAAAAAGAGCCATTAACAGAGATAACCAAGTAGATAAATCTCAGAATCATCATGCTAAGTCAGAGAGGTTATACCCCAAAGTTCCACATAGTGAATGACTTAATTAATATAACACTCTGGAAGAAACAGAACTACATATATAAGTCAAATGAGTGATTGCCAGTGACAATTCAGTGATTTTTTCTTTTTTTAGTGTATTGACAGTATGCAATCACCACAATCTAATTTTAGTAGTTTCGGCATCCCTAAAAGAAGACCCATGCCCATTAGTAAACACTCCCCCTTTCCTCATCATTCAGCCCCTGGTGACCACTAATTTACTTTCTGTCTCTATGAATTGATTATTCTAGACATTTTATACAAGTGGAATCAAATAATATGTGGCCTTTGAAGTCTGGCTTCTTTCACTTAGCATAGTATTTCTGAATTTTATCTTAAGGTAACTGAATAATATCTCAAGAAAGCAGTTCTGAAAATAAAAAAACCTTTGACCGTTTTCTTTGTCAAAACATAGTTTAGTGGAGCTGTCAAGTTCCTCCATGCCTTACTTCCAACTTAATGTTCAATCCTCACCTGTTATTTTTCCTTGTACCATCTTCTGCTTCCACCCGAACACTCAATGCCACTTTATAATTCCAATGCCTTTGCACATACTGTTCTCACTGTCGAGAATGTAATACTCCCTTTCTGGTGAACTCCTCTACATCCTTCAAGAACAAATATGATTTCTTCCAAGAAATCATCTGTAACTCCAAGCAAAATTGATCATCCCTTCTATTCTGTAAATCCTGGTCAACACTCACCCGGATAGCAGGCTATGAACTCCCTGAATTCACTTGACAGTGTCATCTTTAGCTCTAGGACCTAATACTTGTAAGCTCTTAATAAGTGCTTATTAAATAAATAAATGACAAAATACTACCTCACCACTGACCAACAAGAGTGCCATTTTTTCTTCCAACTAGTTTAATTGGTAAAATCCATATAAATGTAACTTAAGTTCTGGCCTTCAGAGATCAATAAAATGAAATAAAAATACAAATTTGGAAGCTAACACTGAGACTTAGGGAAATTATCATAAAGTAACATTTCATGGGGGTTCACAGCTCAGATACTTATCATTGTTGACCGAACATACTGAAGTCGATACTCTTATTCAATATATTAAATGTGTTGTTTAACTCTGGTAACCACAGCTGTGACTTAGTTAACGATCTCAATAAATCCTACTTAAATCAGAGACAGGAAAAAATTATGCAAATGAATTCTTATCTGTTTTTCTGCCCAAGGCATATTTGATAACAGATAAAACATACTCCAAATAGTCTCTACTTAATAGTCAGGAAGCCATTTGAGGTTTTATCTGGATCAAAATCAAATACAAAGAAGAGAAGCCTGCTATATTCACAAATTATTTTATTTCAGAAAGAAATTATACATTAAAAGGAGACATAGCTAAGCGTTTACATTCACATATGGAAGTGAATCTAGGAAAGTCAACAGTTATTAATACACAAAGCCACATGATTAAAAAAGACAGTAACAGATAATGACAGATGGGGCTGCCTTAGATTCAACTACAAAGTATCTTTTGTTTAAAAAACAAAACCGACTTTGGTCTTTAAGACAGCTCTTTAGAAAGGAGATTGTTGTTCCAAGACTTAAACATCAAACCAGTCACACCCATCTCAATGTTGGCGGTTTCACACCCACCCTCATCCAGCAGGATAGAACCCATCCATCAATTACACCTTGCAGCTAGATAGGATGTCTTCCACTAATCTCTTGTAAACCCAGGCGTCGCCCTTAAGCCGCTGCCTCCTGATACCCACCACGTCAGGTTTCTGAAGCTGGCACACTTCTAGTTCAAATTGCATTGTCACTTTGCCAAAATCTGACTGTGTTTGACACTTCAGTGTATAGCTATGAAAAATAAGATAAGAAACCAGTTAGTCGGAGAACAGGAATATTTCTTATAATACAAGAGGTTTCTAAGCCTTTAGGAGACTGGTGCAGAAAATGAGCCATTATTTCATATTAAACAATGTATTACTGGTTACAGCTCAAAAAGGACCTGGCAGGATGACTTGTGTTTCCCTAGGAGCTAAACTAGGATCCCAGGAAAGAACAAGGATGAAAATGCTTTACCAGAATTCCCCCTTGCTCCAAAGAAAAGCCCTTCTTCCAGTTTTACATGCCACACATGCTCAAAAAATCACTGGCATTCTTTATGCAACCTTTTCAACAGTGTAATCCATGAACATTAGGCCATTTCCAAATGTTCACAATAAAAGAAAAAGCACAGGGAAGAGAGAGAATATTTTTTGTGTTTGCAACTCAACAGAAACTTTTTTCATATGAATAAAGTTAAAGACACTGTCTTCTCAGAAAGACACGTTTTTGAGGTTTTTCTAATAGTAATAAGAGTTGTTACAACACTTTCCAGCAAAAAGAAACATAAAGAAGGCTCAAAGAGATGGTATTTTCCCACTCTTGAAACATATGGTATTTACTGTTAGAACTGCTTCATATCTACCCTGGTTATGGAAAAGTCCTGTCTAAATGAAGCCTTCAACTCATCTTTCAGAAATGGGTTTGATCCTGAAAAGTTGCACACATGGAATTTATGTAAATATAATGATCCTTTATGGGCTGGCTCAGTGGAAAAGTAGTAAAAGTAACATGCCACTCAAGGTAAGTTGGATCCCACATGGCAATAGCAGTTCAAATACCAGGCCTGGTCAGCCTGAAATAAGCCAGGTAAGCTCATGTGAGCATCCAGGATCTGATGGGCAGATCTCCATAGGAATGGAGAAAGGACGTGGCATGACTAGATACTATGGAGAATGCTCAAACCTCTCTCTCAGGTGAATAAATACTCTAATGAATAAAAAAAAAAAATTAAGCTTTATTAAAAATTATAAAAATAGGGACCAGCAGTTAGCCTAATAGCTATGTCACTGGACTCCCACGTAGTTGACCGCAGTTCGCGTCCCGGACCCAGTGGCTTAAAACTCATGCCAGGCGCGTGTGCATGTGTGCCCAGGATCCCGAGAGAATGGAAGAGAAGGGACTGCAGCATGGCCATCCCCCCTGGGGGGTGATTTCTCTCTTTCTGTCTCTCTGTCTCTCTCTGTCTGTCTAGCGAGCTCATGCACCCTATAGTGAAAACCTCTCCAAAAAAAATTATAAAAATAAAATTATCCCTTTAATTTATATTTTAGAGTTTTATTAGTCTTATTAACCTTCAACAAACAATAAATACAAACAATAAATAAAAGGACTGGGAACCAGCAGTTAGCGTAATGGCTATGTTGCTGGACTCCCACATAGTCGACCGCGGTTTGCGTCCCGGACCCAGTGGCTTAAAATTCACGCCGGGCGTGTGTGCGTGCATGCCCAAGATCCCGAGAGGAGAATGGAGGAGAAGGGATTGTGGTGTGATCATCCCCCCTGGGGGGTGATTTCTCGCTTTCTGTTTCTCTCTGTCTGGCGAGCGCACATGCCCTATAGCAAAAACCTCTCCAAAATAAATAAATAAATAAATAAAAGGATCAATTTAAATTTCAGTACACTCAAGATTTAAAGACATATGATTTGGGCACTATTCAAAAAAGTGTAGAGAAATTATTTTGTATTTGTTATTACAGGTTTCAAAAAACTATCATTCTTTTTCTTACTAACTTAGTTATGTGTTTTGAGAAGGGGCTTGCTCTCTTAAAAATAAGTAGTCAAGGGACCAACAGATGCCATAATGGTTACATTGCTGGACTGCCATAGGGCCAACTATGGTTCGAGTCCTGTGACTTAAAACTCACAGCAGGCGTGTGTGTGTGTGTGTGGGGGTGGTGTGTGTGTGTGTGCGCGCGCGCGCGCGCCCGCCCAAATTCCCAAGAGGAGAATGGAGAAGAAGGGACTGTGGTATGGTCAGTCCCATCTCGCTTCCTGTCTCTCTGTGTCTCAAGCAAATGCACATACCCTATAGCAAAAAAATCTCTCTAAAAAAGGTAAAAAAAAAAAAGTTAAAAAAAAAGTAGTCAATATCAGAAATGCCAAAAAGAGCATCCCGTAGGTAAGGTTCTTGATCAAAGATGAAGCATAAAACAATTTAGTCATATGGAAGACTAAAAGCAACTCATCCAGACTGGGAAAAAAAGATAACAATGGAATATAACAAAGATAAGTAACATCATACTACTGAAAAACTTAATTTTTGTCTTTCTCCCTTGTCACAAAAGTAGTTTAAAAAAGAGAGAGAAGGAAGGGGAGAAGGTAAAAAGAAAGGAAAGGGGTCAAGGCCAAGCCCTTTTGTTTGATCAGGGAGTTGGAAGGATAAAGTACTTTTATTTTTGGAGAGGTTTTTGCTATAGGGCGCGTGCACTCACCAGAAAGACAGAGAGAGACAGAGAGACAGAAAGCGAGACATCACTCCCTCAGGAAGGATAGCCACGCCACAACCCCTTCTCCTCCATTCTCCTCTTAGGATCTTGGGCATGCATGCACACGCACCTAGCGTGAGTTTAAACTACCGGGTCTGGGACTCAAATCGTGGTCGACTACGTGGCAGTTCAGTGGCATAGCCATTATGATAACTGCTGGTCTCAGGATAAAGTACTTCTTAACAGCCAATAAATTTCATGTTGAAGAGGTTCTAGAACCATAGATAAGCCCCAAGCATAAAGAGAGCAGCATATATTACACAGATGTGTTTTAATGAAGCCTAAAAAAGAAATCTAGGGTTCATATAGGTGATGCTTGCAAACATTTACAGTGAAAGGTAAAACTACATTTGTAAAGACTGTTTCTTAAACTCTTACTTGATATTGACTGTTCTATTTATATATTCTTAAATCTATTAGCGGCTCTACTTTAGCCACTTTGATAAAGAAATGGTAGAGACATATAGAAATATGAACAGCTTGGATAATTAGAAGAGGTCTGGCTATTCATACCATAAGATCAAGACCAAAGAGTCTTTCAATGGTAGGGAAATAGTTAAAGTGAAATAACTTCCTTAAAGTACTGAAAACCCAATCCTGTAAAACAGCCCATCATAAAGAGAAGAATTCTATATAAATCTCTGATTTGTTTGAAGTAGCTCATTAATTTAGATTACAATTTATTAATACTATTGTAAAGCAGAAAATTAAAGGAGTATAGAGGATTTAAAGGAAAACCAGAAGTTGTTCAGATGTTCCTCTAAAATGAAAAGTCTAACTTGTAAGTGGTGACAACATAGGTACTTATAAGTTATAACTATTTATATACAACAAAAGAAAGTAAGTTATAAACAATGACACAATTATAAAAGCTTTTTGGAATGTGGTGGTAGAAATACGTTTTTTTAAGGTGGAGGGGTGAGGAGAGAAAACCAATCCTTATTTCCTCACAGTCCAAAAGATACTTAAGCAATAAATGTAGGAGTCTGTAGGTGTGCTTCTTACCCCTTCTGTACGAAGTCAACATGCTTCTTTGGGAGAATAGACATTATTTCATTCAAGAGTAGGTCTGGATTCACCAATCTTGTTGTAGTCACATTATAGTGAGGCTTAAAAAAGAAAAGAAAAAAAAAAAAAAAAAAGGAGGGAGAGAGGATGAGAAGTAAATCTTTACATCAACACAAAGATCATCCTACCTGATCTAGAGATCCAAACACCCCAGCCTTTTGAGCCACTCCTCTGTCTACTCAGGCCCACTCCTACCACTTACTTTTTCTTAATAAACTACTTTTTCCTTACTTATTTGCGTGTTTCATTTAATTCTTTTTTTTTCTTTGAGAGGTTTTTGCTATAGGGCGCGTGTGCTCGCCAGACAGACAGAGACGGAGAGACAGAAAGCGAGAAATCACCCCTCAGAGGGGATTGCCACACCACAATCCCTTCTTCTAAATTCTCCTCTCGGGATCTTGGGCACGCACGCACATGCGCCTGGTTGAGTTTAAGCCACCGGGTCCGGGATGCGAACCGCAGTCGACTACATGGGAGTCCAGCGACATAACCATTACACTAACTGCTGGTTCCCTTCATTTAATTCTTTATCCAAAACCAAGAACCTAGATATCATCACAGAAGCCATCCCACAACATATATTGTGGCAAGCCAGCAAGGATGTGGAGAGTCAGCCAAGGCCTCATGAGCCAAAGGTAAGAAACTGATGACTGCTGAAACCCGGGGAGATCCTCTATGCCCCTGTCTAGGAAAGTCATCATAACCACTGAGGAACTCTGGGTAACTCTTGATGTCATGGCTGTAAAATTGCAAATAACCATACAACAGGGATATCAACCACTTGGGACCGCCACTGAATCCTACTGCAAGTCAACCAACACCAATGACAGCCCTCTTCCCAACACATCTCAGGACTATCACAACTCTCTCACTTAGATCAGGTAGGACGAGAGTTTCATGATCCCCAATAGGTAGGGTCAACGCCCCTTTCCAGCACAAAGCAGTTACAGAAAACAGACCATCCACCTTCAAATCCCCCCCAAAATTTATGGGGACCATGCCTCTTGGGGAAAATGAGGCAGGAGAAAGCTACCAAAGGGAAGCAGCTAAGAAGGTGGAAACATCTGCCCATGTGGCTAGATAGAAAAACCCAATCAGGGGCCAGCAGGTGGCATGGTGGTTAAAGCACTAGACACTCCTATATGGCCTGACCACGGTTTGAGTCCCAGACCTGGTGGCTTGCTTTCTCACTTCCTTTCTCTCTGTGTGTCTGTCTTTCTCTGGTCAATAAAATAAATGAATGAGTAAATAAAATTAAATAAATAATTCTTTAAGAAAGAAAGAAGGAAGAAAGAGAGAGAGGAAGTAAGGAAGAGAAAGAAAAAAGAAAGAAAAACCTGATCAGGGCAGAAAACTCCCTGCCCAAAGTAATACAGGCAGATGAGTGGGGGTTGTCTAGCTGATTAAGCCACATCTGAAATAGCCAATGAGATAAATCAGTGGGCCAACTCACATTTGATAGAGCCAATAAGATGAAAGCAATCAGTGGGCCTGGCCAATGATCAACCCACATGACTTATGTTGAAAATTATAAATCTGGCAGAATGCAACTGCCAGGGCTTTTTGAGCCACTCTTTCTCTGTCTTCTCAGGCCACTTCTACCTCTCAGGAGTGTACTTTTACTTAATAAACTACCCTTTCCTTACACTGAAAAAAAAAAAAAAAAGAAAGAAAGAAAGAAAGAAAAGAAAAGAAAAGAAA